GAGTGTTTGAAGTCTCTCTATCTCATAGCCCACACAATCAGACATTATGTATGCCAATCTTTATCAAGTTCATGCAAAAGCCAAGTCAGTTCATTATGGAGTAGGAAAAAGAATTTGAAGATATCTAAAGGAACAAAGGAGTTTGGTATATGGTACAAAACCATGACTAACTCAAGGATGATTGGTTACACAGATAGTGATTGGTCAGGATCTATGGACGATATAAAGAGTACGTCAGGATACACTTTCTCACTAGGATCCGGTATTTTATCTTGGGCATCAAAGAAGCAAGCAACTGTGGCATAATCAACAGCAGAAGCAAAGTATGTAGCAGCTGCTGAAACCACAAGTCAAACAATATGATTACGAAGAATACTTGAAGAAATGGGTGAACCACAAACTGGACCAACTATTATCTATTGCAACAACAAATCGGCAATAGCAATAGCAAAAAATCCAAGTCCATCATCAAAGAACAAAACATATAGCCATTAAATATCACTTCATTCGAGATGAAGAGACAACTAAACAAATTTGACTCGAGTACTGTCCAACAGAAGACCAAATTGCAGATATCTTTACAAAGGCATTACCACGACCAAGATTTGAACTACTACGCACTATGCTAAGAGTTATCGAATTTGCATTAAGGAGGAGTATTAAAGTATAATGCAATTTCTAGAAGAATGTAAAAGTTGCTTAGATAGAAGAAGTTGAAATGTATACAGTTATAACATATTGGTCGAGGTAAAGCCTCCCCCACCCAGGGAAGGAAAACATACGCTGTATTGAAAATCAGATATGTCGTACTTTAGGTAAGACTACACTCTACGAACTCGATTCGTCACCACATCAAGTAACAGTCGATATATCATATGGTGTTAGGGTGATATCTGATTCTCGTTCAGAGATCTAATACTTAACAGCCTTTGTGTCTTGATTGTCTATATAATACCCTTCAGTCAAGTCATATGCTCGCTATTCATTTGATGAGGAGGTATTGGACAAGACGTCTACCATTTGTAGGAAGGGAAGGAGGAACGCCGCAAGCGAGCTAAATCGTGAGAGGCATATCAGAACTTACGATGCTTTTGCGTTTTGTGTTCTTTTTTTTTCTCAGTCGGGGGGGGGGGGATTAGCCGACTCTGACAACACTTTTTCCAACTACTGACGTGTCTGAAGTATAGTACATGTCGACTATTCTCTACGACTGTCGTTTCTACACACACATAATACTTCTGCTCTTCACACAGCACGTAGGTAAAATACCACGACAAATATCTATAGATAGTATTATATTATATATATATATAAACACATAAAATCTTTTTGTTGCTTAATATGCTTCTTGATTTAATTTTACACTTTCTGAATTTAGATCTAGTTACGTTCTTTTTCAAGGTATCCATAGTGTAAAAGAAAGGGGTGTTACTGTAAAAAATTGCATGAAATGGTAGAAAGAGTAGATGAAGGAAATACAATGTATATAAATGTTGATGCTTTATTTTTGGATCTTTGGAGCAGTATATTAAAAGCCTTGTGCCACAACACTTTTACTTTAGAAGCAACAAGAAGGGAAAAAACGCGGGGGAAATCTTCGAGGAAACACATCAAAAACTGATAAAGGAAAGTGGGGAGTGGCTGAAGGATACGTCTGAATCTTGTTCTGTTGTGGAGGAATTTGGGGAGGGTGCCGTAAGGAAATGAGGAAAAAAAAAGAAGAAATGGGGGCACACCAACGAAAAGGACCCATATTTAAAGCAAGGCGCATTCCGTGCGTTTGCCATTGCTTCGCTCATTGGACTTTGCTTTTCCGTCACTGGTCTCATAATGTTCCTCACCATCCTCACTTCTCGAAAGCAACCCAAAGATTTTCGCAGAGGTTTGCCACTCAAACTTCTTCTTGGCTTGAGTTCTCTTTTCGTATCCATTGTTGCAATGTTTGTTTCTTTCTACACCGGCCATTTTTTTCTGCTTAGACATGGATACAAGACGGTCCTATACCCCAATTTATGCAGCTACTGTTTTCCCTGTCACTTTCTATGCTTGTGCACAGTTTCTCTATACTTTGATCTTCTAATGGCCATTTTAACAAGGGTTCCACGATCAAGTGATAGAGGAGACAAGTTATAGGAGCTAACCTAAGCTCTGTCTTATCATTGCAGTCTGGCATTTTGTGTAATTGTCATACAAATCTTTCTATAACTACGGTTCTAACAATTAATCATCAGTAGACAAATAACAATGATTTATGTATGAAGCTTGCAGAATTATGACTAAATGTTAACCTGGATTGTAAAGATTTGCAAGAATTCGAGTTGTTCATAAATAGAAGAATACACTTTCTGGTTTAAATGTTTAAATAATTTTGTTTCGAATATCTTACTATCTATATATTGTTTTATCTCCTTTGGAAAGCCGTCCAAAAAAAATAAAAGTTTATATGTATCCATTTTACTTTTGTTAATGGTTTAGAAGTAATGTAAAAACAAGAAACCACTATAATTTGAAAAACTCAGATATGTAATGTTGATACAAATTTTATTTTCTTCTTTAGTAAATTTTATAGTGCCAAATATTTCATGTTATAACATGTGATTTCTAACATGGGTTGTTAAATATAACCGAAAATGTGTAAACAACGAATTTGTCTCTAAGATTCCATGTTAATGTACCCATCATATGCTATACAATTTGTTTCATTAAATATTAAATATTTTATTATATATAAAATCAAAAAACAGTTTAGAAAGTTTTAATTATAAAATTATTTGTTTAATTTATATATATATATATATATATATATATATGTTTTATTTTTAATAACTAAAATGATAAAATTTATATTTTAATATATGAACTTTTTTTAATTCAATAAACACCAATATACGCACTTTTATTGGTGTTTTTAAAAATCGAATGTTAATTTTATAAAATTTGAAATAATGTTTTAAATGTATAAAATCTTAATTTAAAGAGTTAGTTTACTAAATTAATATACTAGCATTAAGTTTGGTTCCAAACTTCAGGGCCCACTTAGTCTTGATTGTTCATTCTTTAATTATTCCATCACAATAATTTTAAAGCAAAATTATTCATAAGATCATATTTTTATACTAATTAAAATTATGCACCAAAAATACAATTTTTTGGCACTTATTCAGACCATTGTTCAATTTTTCAATACTCTACTGAAAAAAAAAAACGTGACGTTAACACCAATTTTGTTCAGAAATGGTTGAAAAAGCTAAAGAAGAAGGAAAAAAAAAAGGGAATCAGCAGGTTGTAAAAAAAAAATATGACACTTGTACTTCGCCCGACATGATACCAAGTGAACTGAAATAAGTAATGTATGTTTCTGTTTAAGAATCCGATATACCAGTTTTGTGACCCAGCTGTCCCAAAAAGAGAGAAAGAAAGCTAAGGTGAAGTTTATTAATTTGTATTAGCAGGTATTTATAAATAGAATTTATAATAGATATTAAATAAATATTTATAGATAATAAATATGGATATTTAATTATTTATTTGTTTATTAATTAAATATGCATAGATAGCATTTAGAATTATACATTTAATTCATGAATACTCATGATCAATAATTAATTGTTAATGAATTTGAGGAATTTGTTTTTCTTAAAATGTAAGTTATTAAAATTAAAATTATAATGAAAAAATATTAATCGTAAAAAATTGTTTAAAATTAAAAATTATTTTATATATTTTAACTTTATTTTTAAATTTGTGAATTGAAATAGTTATGGAAGGAAGTAAGTGTGGATTTTTATTGTTTAAAAGGAGTAAAATGAGTTGTATGAATAGTTGTTTTAAAAATAGTTAAGATTAAGATTTTTTAAATATTATGTTTACAATAATGTTCTTAATTAAAAAATAAAATATAAACAAATATTAACTTCAAGTCATAAAATATTATAGACTAAAATTATAAATATTCTTTAAAAACAGATAATATAGAACAATTGTTTTTTTAAGAATGGATGATTACAGGGATATTAATTTCCTTTACATGTACCAACACCTATAAAACTATATTTTATTTTAAAATACAAATAATTATAAGATAAATCAATAAAAAAATAAAAAATTAATGTTTTTTTAGGTTTTTAAATAGGTTTAATAAAATCTAAAAAGTTGTACATTATATCATGTAAACAGTAACAGTACTCGCACTCCTGTGATCCTACTCCTTCACAAAATTCTCAATAAAGATTTTTTTCCTTACATAACAATCACGAGGATCATTACTATTTCCTAATTGATTCTTCCCTTATCACACAAGAAAAAGTGACATGATTGACACAACGTGAAAAACAATATAAGCATATTTAGAGATATTATTGACACAACCGTGAAAAACACAATATGAGCTTTGAGTCTCCGAACTAGAAGAGATAAGGAGACAGATGAACAGGTTTAGTAAACATTATGTTCTTATTTCAGTTGACAAAGAAAGTCAACTTTGACAATTTGAGTGTATACATGAAAGCCCGTCTAAGATCCCAAGACATTTAGGATGTGGGTAACGATATGACTACGAAGAGGCCACAAAAAGATATAGAGTAAAACAATGGCCCAAACTTGCCTATTAAAAAAAAGTACGAGTGAAGGATCAAGTATCCATTATACATATTAGATTGAGTTGTTGATGACTCTAGCTTTGAGAAGATAGTGAATGTTAAATTTTCAAGAGCATCGTGACAGATTCTTGAAAAAATTTACAAAGGTGATAAACATGTAAAGTAAGTTAGACTTCAAACTCTCATAGGCGAGTTTGAGAGTCTGAGAATGAAGAGTAGAGAACGAGTGACCGAGTATATATCTGGAGTGGAGGTGGTAGCGAATCAACTCGGAAAATAGAGAGGAGTTGCATGTCAGCCATATTGTGGAATGGACTTTGAGAATATTGTGTGTGCAATTGAGAAATCTAAGGACTTGACCATGCTCTCGGTTGAAGAGCTTGATGGGTCCTTAAAGGCATACGAACAATGGAGGAGAGCAATGTTTGAGCAACTTGATCAGGTACTTTAGGCAAGGACTTAACTTTGAAGGGAGGTTGCTCGAATCATTCGAGACCGAGGTAGTCCTGGAGGAAGAGGTTGTGGACGAGGAGATGGTGACCAAAATGATGATGGAAGTGATTATGAAAACAACAAGGGGAAAACCGGCCAATAGAACTGGCATGACCATGGACAAAAAAAATACTGAGAAAGTCGATCAAGTAAGTCAAATGTTGAATGTTTTAAGTATAAGAAGAACAAAATCAAGATTGAAGAACAAGAATTATTGATAGAAAAAAAATGTTGATACACTTTTGTTCGAAATAGGGATATATTATATATATATATATATTATACACACATTCATTTATAAGAAAGAGAAAACAAAAGCTCTTAGAGACCCCATTCAAGCAATTTATTTAGGATATGTTGGCAAGAACCAAGAGCGTGAGCGGGGCGATCAAGAGAAAAGCAGGAGACCAGAAGATATCAAATTCTTATCTTTTTATGGGAGTGAAGGAAAGAGGAGGGGGGGGAAAATTTTTCGGAGCTTTGTGCATGAAGAAGTGGTAGATGTTCAAAAGGTAAGGTAGAATTAAAAAAATACTTTTCTGTTATCATTAACTATTTTTTTTAAAGACATGATGACGCGTGTTGAGGTTTGTTTTGTGGGTTTATTAAAAGAGATTTAGACGTTAAGGAAAAAATAATAAATATTTTTAGGTTTTAAGTTTTGAATAAAATCAACTTGAAAAATGATTTAAAATTTAAAATGTCAATAAGTCTATAAAAATACAAATAGTATATTTTGTAAAAGTTCAAAGATAAAGCATTGCAAAAATGGAGTACATTCTCAAAAAAAATTATAAATGATAAGTAGAAGTATGTAGGATAGACTCGTTAAAAATATAAATCAGTATATGAACACTATTTTAATATGTATTGTTAGACTCATCTAATTAATTTATTGACAAACTCTTCTAATATATATATTGTTAAATCTATCTAATTAATATATAAACACATTCGTTTATTATGTAATGTTACACATCCTTATTCACTGTGTGGAGTTGTATTTAAATAATATACTGCATATAAAAAAAATACAAACCTTAATAAAAATGTAATCATCATAAAAATTACTTCACACTCTATTACGTGATTTATGGAATTTATTTTTTAATAGTCAAACATTTAAAATGTGTACTCTTTCCTTCAATTGCATAATATAATATTTTTGTATTGTGGTTTTTTTTTCTTTTCTAAGAAAATTATTTAGTTAACATTAGGTGGCTATAAATGTAAATAAAGATTATTCTAAAGTGAATAAAAAAAATGTGAAATCTTGGAGAGCAAAAGATGTATCGATTTTTACTTTAGGAAAATAGGTAAAATAAAACTCCCATATGTCTGTGTCACTCTCCCTAATATATGAGTGCTGGGCATGTATAATGTACTGTAAACACATACCAATTTTTTCCTTCATCTAGAATGTTCTATTTTGTGTTCATTTCTAACTACAATCTAAAAAAAAAGTGAAAAAAGAAGAAATAGAGAAATATTATTTCCTTTTTGATTTAAATACTTTTCGGAAGAAGATATGTTGCAGTGTGCAAACTGCTGTGTGAAAACACGCCAAATACGTAAAAGCTTTCAACAGGGAAAAAAAAGGGGGGGGTGGGGGGCCCTGAGAAAAAAGAGAGAAAAAGAGTGAAAAGAGAAGAAAGCAAGGGACAAGAGGAATGGAAAGAAGACAAAGGAAAAAAAGGTAATGAAAAGAAGGGCGAAGGATAATAAAAGGGGTTCTTATTTCGGATTTTGTAATGAGGGCTTTAAATGAAAACTTAAGAAATCTCACTATTCGGCCATATTAACCTTATATTAGTGTGTGCAAGAAAAATGATATATTTTTCTTTCATGTTTTTCTTTTTTGTTATATCATTCGTTTTTTCTCGACTTCAATTTCTTTTAAAATAGTAGGGTTACCCATTATAAATTTATCCTTAAGTATTGCTAGTTCAATATATATATTAAGTGTATGAAGCTTTTTAGGTGTATTGACAAATTTTAAAAAATATTTAGAGGATTTATTTTTAACTTTAAATTGTTTAAGATGACATTAATTCAAGAAAGATGGTGATTTTTTTTATTGTGATAAAATAATTCTTTTTTATAAAGACTCAATATTTTCTCATTTATTTGCTAATATATATTCGTACGAGTATATTTTAAATTAATTTTATGATAATTATTATTTTGAATGTATTAGATTTTCACCAATTACTAGATATTTTTAAAAAGTCAGAATTTATCGACTAAGTCGAGATCCACCTATCATTACATTACAATTATTAAAGTAGTTAAGCTCTAACTAATTTTTTTTTGTTGTTAAATACACTTAAATTTTAAGTTCATCTGGAAATTCGTTACAAAAATTCCAACACATTCATTGTGTTATAATTGTTACCTTTGGCCATCTACATATATAACAGTTCTCTGGAGCCATTGGACAAGAACTATTCTTCTGCTTATTTCTTTTTCCCAGTTTTGTTGTTCAGTTACAGTGAGAAGTAGAAAAGATAAAAAAAAGAAAGTCATTACAGCATTACTGAAAAAAAAAAAGAGAAGGAGGACATGGACGGGAGGGTTGTACTATTTTGCAAGTAGTAGTAGTAGTAACGCTTTATTTTCTTTGGAATCCAATAAACTTAGTTGGCCACTCCCAACAATGTGGAGTGGTTGAAGGATATTATTGATTAGTAAAGTGATTTAATAAAAAAAGTAAAATCATATTCAGACTGGTCTCAACACGAAAATGTATTTTATTATTTGTTGAATATTATGGAAGACAACCGGTAAACTAAATAAAAGGTTTAAGAGTAATAACATTGTAAGTCTAATAAATTACCGCTAAAAAAGTGTAATACGTGTATGTGTACAGATATTTTGCTTTATCGGCATTAATGATGTGTAGATTAATGACCATATATAGTAAATAAGTATGTTATTTTTATTTGTTTGGGGTGGGGGGAAGAGTTTGATGAGGGTTGAGAGGGGTGGACATAAGATAAAACGATACTTATTGATTAAGATGTGAAGGTCAGAACATTTAAGGGACAAGAGAAAAGTGGGAAAAGGACAAATCGTTGTGTGTGAATTTGAACATCAAGTTCTTAGGTATCACATATACATCTCAGTATATAAGATGCATATCATACTACAATGTTTCCTGCCAAGTTTAAACAGTATACAGATTCGATAATCGGAAGTTGAAGTGTGTGTGTGAAGCAGGATGGGAAAGGACCAAACAATTATATAAATTTTGAGGAGTTGTGGTGGAATACGTGAACATTCTGGGCGGAGTTCACATTCGATGGGAATGGGAAGAGGTTGAGAAGATGTACACTGAAGACACAGCGTGTCACACGGTGGTTGTAAGGATTGACGAATTTTTAGTCGGCACTGCACTGCACATGGAGGGGGAAGGTGGATTTGGAGAAGAAAGAAGTTGTGGTTTGAAAAGAGTGTGATAGCACCACATTAATCAGACACAAGACGAGGAAGGCTCTGAAAGTGAAGAACTATCGAGGGGATACAGCTCTGCATGTTGCTGCTTCCAGGGGTTTCACAAAGATATGTGAGTTCATCGTAGGAGAGAATCGGGAGAGGACTTACTTAGTCAAACTCAAGAACAAAGAAGGAGAGACTCCTCTCTTTCAAGCCGCTCTCAACGGGAAGAAACAGGCCTTTGCTTATCTTTCTAACCTTTTTGGCCACAGAGCTCCCTTGCCAGATCTTGTGCGACGCAACGGTGACAGTATTCTTCACTGTGCTATCAGGAATGAATATTTCGGTATGCATATACATATATACATTCTCTACCTCTATATATACATATCAAAGCTGAATCGCACTCATCACTGCATTGCTACATATGCTGCAGATTTGGCAGTCATAATATTGCATTATTATGATTTCCTTGGCGTACTTATGAATAAAGATGGAGAGCTTCCCCTCAAAGTCCTTGCCACTAAGCCTTCCGCCTTCCACAGTTCAACCTATCTTTCATTGTTGAGGCGAGTCCAGTACCTACGTAAGTAAACTCACACAGAATATGCTTACAGGACTCTTTTTTTCTCGTAATAAAAATGAATTGACTTGACTTTCACAATTGTTAGTGTTTCCTTAAAATAGAAGAATCTGTATATGTATATACATAAGTTTTAATTATACTTGTCTTGTTAAAGGTGTACACGTGGAACCCTTTGAGCCTGAAAGGGAAATGCGAGCGATTTTAAGAGAGATGGAACCTCAGAAGCTTCTGAATGAAAATTGTCCACGGAACTACGCCGTGTTGACTTCAGCCTTTACTAGTTTATTCGGTTTCTTCGGTTTATCCAGTATGTAAATGTGTTTGTGTCATCCCGTTTCTTTTCTATTTCCTTAATTTGTTTCGTCGTTAATTTGTCAAAATGTTCATAAACTGTATAACAGTAGTCGAGTATTTGATATTCTGCCTCTATAGCACATGATATGACAAACTTATTAAATTATTACTACTGTGAGTTCAATGGTGATGCATTATTGATTACAAGTACATATTTGTTTTGGTCAGGAAAACTGCTTTTTAATAGGGAAAGACGTGACCCAGAAAACAACCCGATAGACTTAATACCGATTAGCCATAGCTGGGGTGAGGAAAGGCGTTTCCCCCCAAACTATAAAACTATTCTTCAGTTTGTCCAATATGTATATGCTATTATTTCAGCAGCTATTGGAGGTGTGTATATATTCTACTTGTTTCTTGATCTATTGGTAGCTATTTTAGCTATTGGTTTTTGGCAAGTTGATTTCGTTGCATCTGCTTTTTAAGGGATAAATGAACTAAAAGAGATAAAAAAGAAGCACCAATTGGGTCCAAGACTCTTGAAGGAACTATTGAGAAGAACTTATGAAGCAACCACGGGAAGAGGGGTTGTACCCTCTGATATTGCAATTGATATAGATATGTATAATGTTTATAGCCAGTGGATGCAAGGTATCTATCTATATTACACTTTTCTAACTAACTACGTTTCTTCCCATTTTATGTCAAAATTATTTTAATCTCCCTTATCACACCCATCTTAATCACACTTAACATTTATTGTAGAGTTAAATGTTACAGAACTAAAAAAAATACCATATATCACAAGAAAAACATAAGAACAGAAGTGAAAGAAATCAACTTTTTTGTAGTAGAAGATTTTACAAAAAGGATATCTTTTGATTAGGACTTCAAAAATATAACAGGTTCTTATTCATAGAATATAGGGATATCAAAGTTAAAACAGTTAAGACAAACTATTGTTTACAATAATACAATATGACTTATTGGTGGACACTCTAATGCAACTTTGAAACTATTAAATACTTTTTAGTAGACGCTTTTCTTTATATTTTTTATGATTTAGAAATAATATATCATAATTCTTCAACTTAACTTTAAATCACGAGAAAAATTATCTCGTCATCTTGTATTTTTAAGCGTTTGAATTTGGATCCTGGTAGAGACTTCACAAATACATGTAGAATTTTTCTTCAAAGTTACCTTCATAATCTTGACCACTCCAGACCCAACAATATCTTTATTGAAGTGCAATCTATCTTGGTTCTCTTATGGTATATCTCATGATCACTTACATGTAAGTTACTATGACTATCACAATTAATAATCATACCAATATTATTACACCAATATTCAACTCATCTATCATATCTCCTTTAATTATAGTTTAATTATAAAAATATATTTCTATTATTAATTTTAAATTATTCTCTAATTTTAAATTAAAAACTAATTTAAACACTAATTTTAGTAATTAATATTAAAAAGATCAATTTAATTTTAATTTACCAATTAATTATATTATAATAACATTATTTTAGATACCATAATTTTTAATTATAAAATAATAGTTGAATAGCTAATACAGTAATTAATTATTTTTTTTCGAAAGATGGTTTCTATTTAATTATTTGCTTTGTAGTGAAGTAATGGTACATAAAAAATTCTAGTTAACGAACTAAGGTCCTTATGCTAAAGTGAGATAAGAATAACAAAATCTATATTCATTAAACTCGTGTTTTTAGTAATCTAACAGAACCCATTTAGTATATCTGTATATATGTACCTAAAAATAATAGACCATTTTGTGAGTGTCAAAACTAAGAATGTCCAACTAAATTTCTAAGAGAACAACATTCACTTGACAGGGGAGAAGAAACCAGTCAATCGAGGTGGTTGGAAAGAAGAGGAAGAAGAGGAAGAAGAGGAAGAAGAGGAAGACAAGCGATTGGCAAAGAAAAGACAAGACGGATAAGAATTGACAAAAAGGAAAACGCCATTTTTGGAAAGCAGCAAGGAATGGCATGAATTGAAATGGTGAGTAAAATGATTCACCGACGTCCAAGTGTCGTGCATGAAACAACTCGCAGGGGAGAGAATGTATTACTGTTGCCTGCGAGGATAGGAAACCCGCTGTAATTGAAAGTCTGAAAGAGATCTTGAAGTGTGAAGTTTGGAGAACTTTATGTATGGCAATAAATAAGGATGGGAAGACCATGTTACACATGGCAGGAGAGGTTCCAGCAGATGATATGCATTCCAAAGTTTCTTATTCTGCCTTAGAGATGGTGTGGGACGCAAAATGGTTTCAGGTACCCAAACAAATTCATATATAATATTTTAATTTTCATGTTGAGGAAAGAACGATATTGCTGATGATTCAATTTTCTACCTTGGACCAGTATGTCGCAAGCCTTGTACCACGACACTATTACCTTTTGCGTGATAAAGACCAGAAAATCCCGTGGGAAATCTTCAAGAAAACACATGATAATCTTAGGAAGGAGAGTGGGGAGTGGCTGAAGGAGACATCTGAATCTTGCTCTGTAGTGACTGCGCTTGTTGCTGCTGCTTCCTTTGCAACCGCCACCACTGTTCCTGGTGGCATAGATGACCATGGTATGCCTCATTTTGAAGGCAAGCCTGCATTCGATGCATTTGTTTTTTCTTCGCTATTTGGACTTTGTTTCTCAGTCTCCGGACTCATAATGTTCCTTACCGTCATCACTTCTCGAAAGCTACCCAGAGAATACCGCAAATCATTGCCACTCAAACTTGCATTCGGCTTAAGTTTTCTTTTCTTATCCATTATTGCATTGCTTGCTTCTTTCTGCATTGGCCATTCTTTTCTGTTCAATCACAAATACAAGAAGGTCATATTACCAATTTATATTACTACTTGTTTTCCAGTTAATTTCTTTGCCCTGGATCAGGTGCAACTCTACGTTGACCTTCTGGCAGCCATTTTTTCTACGGTGCCAAATGCAACTGATGATGACGGACAAAATTATTAGAACATTCTACCATATCAGTGTCGTGTTGGAGTCATGTCTTATCATATCATCAGCTTTGGCAAATATTTTTTATTCTCGCTTTTCATCATGCAACTTTCATCTTTAAGCATAGAGTGTGGTGTGTGTGCATTTGTGCAGTAAACATATATTATTATTATCAGCTGCGAAATACAGCTTTTCAATTGTACCCACTTTGTGTTAGATGGTGTGTTATGTTTGAGATTAAGGAGACAAATTTATAGACATTCCCTGCGTCAATCATCCTGATTTCAACTTTAAATTTAATGTTGTGCTCAATACTTTACTTTTATGCCATCTTCACATACAATATTAAACCTTAATCCATGGTAATGGCAGCCAATTTGAAACTTCGCTTTTATTGTCCAAAATAATGGAGTAGATAAATAATAATAGAAATCAACTATACCCAACAAAGAATAATTACTTGTATATTATAAAGAAAGTAAACAAATCAACTAATATT